ATATGTTACGCCCTTTCATATAAGGTGGGGAGTGTGGTGCAGTTATCAAAAGTCAGGGAACACGTGCATTCCGGTACTTTAAAAGAAGTGATTCTGTACTTTACCGCAAATGAAGACCCTTTCTTACAATTTTCATTGTTGGGGTACTGTTTCCATAGTAAATAGCAATGTTATAGGAGCCCAAAGCCACAGGTTCTAAAGACTATTTTCCTACTTGTTCTGTGTCCTTCATTTCAGCCGGAGGGAATTGTGTACTTTGTTTTAATGAGTTTAGAAGCACGTGTGCCAACAGGCAGGGTGAGGAGGTCATGGTTTGTTGAGACGGCGGGAGAGCCAAAGAAAATTTGAATTTATCCTCAGCAGTGTTTCTACTTAATGTATTTATTACATATGTTAACCGGCCTTCTTTATCACTCTAATACCAAACGATACCCTTTTTTTTCAAGGTAAATATGTAAATGTAAACTAATAAGTTATGTTCTGCGATATTTCAGCAGAAATCCACCCAAACGGCACTGCTTGCAAACTTTTAAGTTTTCTTTCCCACCTGTTCTGACCCATTCGCAGCCGGAGAAAGTTGTGTACTTTGTTATAATAATAGAGTTTAGAAGTACGTGTGCCAACAGACAGGGTGAGGGGGGTCAGGGTTTGTTGGGACGGAGGGAGAGCCAGAGAAAATTTAAATTGAACTTTAGAAGCATTTCTACTTACTGTATATACTCGATGTGGACAATAACATCAAGTCTCTAAAAATGCCCCCCATCCGTTTCTGAAGAATTCAGTGGCAAACAATGCATTAAGGTTCTCTTCAAAAAGTAACTTACACGTGTAACTTTTTTATTTATGGCTTCATGGTTTATAAGGATTGATTGATAAATAAATAAAAGGTAGGAGATAGTGGTACAGTTATCAAAAGTCAGGAAACACGTGCATTCCGGTACTGAAAGTAGCCGTTCTGTACCTAAATGTAAATGGAGACCATCTCGTATTCTACTTTAATGTTTCCTTGTTTGATTACTACAATAGCGCAATGAATATGATATGCATTTCAATGTTATGAACGCCACTCCTTGCAGAGGCCATGCCCCCCTCCCCTGTTCTGACGCCACCTTCTCGGCAGAGAGCTGTGTACTTTGTTTTATATAGAGATAAGAATTACGTGTGCCAACAGACAGGGTGAAGGGTCAACGTTTGTTAGGACAGAGGGAGACTTGTTGAATGTTTTCACATTACCTCAGTAGCGCTTGTACTATATACACCGGATGTGGATGCGGAGAGTAACCCCTACCCTTTTTAAAATCCCCAAAAGAATTTCATAAGAAACTTATTATATGTGATAATTTTTATTACCAGCATACTTTATCACTCTAATACTAAGTCTAATTTTTTCAGGATTTGTTGGTAATGGTGCATTTTATTGTTTTCTTTGTTTGATATAGTTTAAGACCAAGAAAAAGTGCATTCCGGTACTTGAAAAAAAATTGTCATCCTATTCTAAGTGTAAATCCATTTGGAGACCATCCCTTGCCGTGTAAGATAATTAGTAAACTAATATGATTAACCCTTGTCCTGCTGGCATTTTTACACAATATTTAGGTCATAGATCCCCCATACTTTTTTTTGCTCTGCGGTGTCATAGTTACTTCTGCATTCGTTGCGTTTCGCTGCGGTGTAATACATTGCACGAGAAATACCACCAAATTGTACCTATACAGAGTTCTATATAGATGGTACTGTATGTGCCAAACAACAATGCATTGTTGGGCTCCGCAGGACAAGGATATGTCCTGCGATAGTACAGGAGAAATCCTCCCAAACGGCACTGTTTACAAACTTACGGTTATTCTGCCACCTGTTCTGACACCTTAGCAGCCGGAGGGAGTTGTGTACCTTGCCGCAGTTTAATTATAGAGTTTAGAAGTACGTGTGCCAACAGACAAGGTGAGGAGGTCAGGGTTTGTTGGGACATTCGGAGGCTCTTCAGGAGTTTACGGAGACGTTCAGAAGGGCTAGTTGGTACTTTATATGCACTGGATATGAACAGTAACATCCAGTATTTTGAAATGCTCTAAAAGAGTCTTTTTAAGAATCAATTTAAAAATTTACTTAACCTGCCTCTTAATCACTCTCTGAAGAAATAATGTTCTTTAAGATGTTCTAACGTATTATTTTTAAAACTCGAAATTCAATAGACTAAAAAATAAAAAAATAAAAAAAGAGCTTGTCGTAAAGTATCGTATGCATGTTGAGGCCTTAAAAGTGCATGTTGATTGTTGAGCCATTGAAAAATGCATTGTTTGTGTGTGCGTGAATATGAGAGAGAGGGAGAGGTTACGTGTGTGGGGGGGTCTGTGTGCGTGTGTGTGAGTGAGTAAGTCTAAAGAAAAATCATATGAGATGCATTCACTGAAATTCTATCTATTCTAAGGGAAAAGACATGTTTTAGTGTCTCGTACCACAATACGACATTGTTATTAAGCACGACTCATATAATGATGTGACGTATGCATAATTTTGCTTACGCAAGTTCACTCCAATCAGCTGAGCACAGGTCAAGACATATTTAATACCGCCCATCCCATCTACTTCAGTTCGCACCAATCAGACGCGTACGGGTAAAAAAAAAACATTTCCTCTGCAGAACTATTAATATCGCCCGTCCCTACCGGCCAGGTGTGTGGTTCCCATGGCCTACTTTGGGACACAGTATAAATTACCGCACACAGAACAAGCCTCACACACATCACGGAGTCTGGACTCAACTCAGCATATGGTGAACATGTGGAAGTTTCTGGTCTTCATCGCGGCTGTGGTCGTCTGGCCGGACTCGGCACAAGGTGAGTTTGGAATCTGTTTTTACTTCCTATTAAGGGGGCAACAGAGTGTCTTGGATTATGCATGCATTTATGTATTACTGTGTAATTCTGAATTGTTATTCATTCGTCAATCCAACTTATCAGGTTTGGTAATATCTAAATTGGTGAGCATGCGATGGACCAATCTTGTCACTTTCTTTTCTACATCTATGTATTTTTACGGGTAGGGGAGCGTGTACAGAAATGGCATAGATATACCTAACAAAAGATAGAAAACGTTTTGGCTATAAGTACATAATCTTAGACATGCAAGTTAGGAAAGTACTAGTGGCCTAGTTAGTACTAGTTAGGCAAAATGCCAACCTATCTAGTTCGGCAAATGGGCTTTTTATATAACGTTTGGCAAATTTGGCAGGAGGCCTTCCTATCTACATGTAGTTAGGCAAATAGGCTTCCTGTCGAAGTTAGGCAAACGCCTAGTTTAGTTAGGCAAATGGGCTTCCCAACTAAGTACTAGTTAGGAAAATGGCTTCCCAACTAAGTACTAGTTAGGCAAATGGGCTTCCCAACAAAGTACTAGTTAGGCAAATGGGCTTCCCAACCAAATACTAGTTAGGCAAATGGGCTTCCCAACAAAGTACTAGTTAGGCAAATGGGCTTCCCAACAAAGTACAAGTTAGGCAAATGGGCTTCCCGACTAAGCACTAGTTAGGCAAATGGGCTTCCCAACAAAGTACTAGTTAGGCAAATGGGCTTCCCAACAAAGTACAAGTTAGGCAAATGGGCTTCCCAACAAAGTACAAGTTAGGCAAATGGGCTTCCCGACTAAGTACTAGTTAGGCAAATGGGCTTCCCATCTAAGTAGTAGTTAGGCAAATGGCTTGTTAGATTAGACAGAACACCCACTTGTAATTTATGAATATATCTAGCAGCTATTTTCTTCAAATAAACTCCATACGTCGTCTAGTAGTCAGTATTTAGTACATTTTCCATGTTTTGATTATCTTGTTAATTAGCACACATAAACTTAATAGATACAAGTTTTTCCTAAAACCTTAACGTGTGATTTCTCCCTCTTTTAAGGCCAAGAATACCTGACCACGGTCGACAATTGGAATTTTTACAAGGTTCGGGCTTCTGGACCCATGTCCAATCAAAACGTCAAGTTCACTTGTGAAGCGATGGGGATGAGATATCCGTGCTACTACTCAGGTACGGGCGGGTGTACCAGCACCTGGACCTCAGACTGTATCACGTTTGACGACGCCGGTGTCAACTGTTATACCCAACAGGTTCTCTCGACAAACCTGTGTGGAACTACTATCCCTTGGCACTGCCAGCCCCTTGATGACACCTTTGTGTACTGCCCTGGCTGTTGGAGTGATGATGGCAGTTCTGTGGGAACGGACTACGAGACTCACAACTGGCAGCTGCAGCAGGGATCACACTACAACAACATGTACGCCCTGTGTGCAGGTAGGAACCCATCATTGATGTCGTTTCACGCCAAACAAATTATCAAATACTATCAGAATATATTAACCCTTAGCTAATTAGTAGTAATTTACAACAAGAAATATACATGATGTACTATATACAGATAGGGATGAGTGCAGCAGCAGCGCCCCCTGTCAGAACCAGGCGACATGCCAGGACCAGATTAACGGGTTCACCTGTCAGTGTGTGCCTGGATATACCGGAACTCTCTGTGAAACAGGTAGGCTTCTGTATAATGTAATACATATTTATCAATGGTCACTGTTTACCTAAGCAAAACCAAAGAGCTTTAACATGATACGACGTCCTTAGCTAAGCATGAATTGCAATTAGTAATTGAAGTCTTTGCCTTTTCTTCTGTTATAATTATATTTTGATGACTTTTCCAAGCGTCTTGACACTCTTGCAGATATCGATGACTGCAGCAGCGCCCCCTGTCAGAATGGAGCAGTATGCCAGGACGGAGTGAACAGCTTCACCTGTCAGTGTGTGCCTGGGTATGCTGGAACTCACTGTGAAACAGGTGGGTGTCTCCACAAGGTAGACTTCGACATTTGAAGCTTTTCTCCTTAATTTATGTAATACAATTTTAATATGACTTTTTCCCCATCGTCCCCATACCCTCACAGAAATAGACGAGTGCCGAAGCGCCCCCTGTCAGAATGGAGCAGTATGCTATGATGAGTTTAACAGCTTCACCTGTCAGTGTGTGCCTGGGTATACCGGAACTCTATGTGAAACAGGTAGGCTTCTGTATAATGTAATATGCACATGCATTTTTATCAATGGTCACTGTTTATCTATCTAAGCTAAACCAAAAAGCTTCAACGTGATACAACGTCCTTAGTTAAGCATCAATTACAATTAATAATTGAAGCCTTTGCCTTTTCTTGATCTTCTGTTATAATTATATTTTGATGACTTGTTCGTTTTCCAAGCGTCTTGACACTCTTGCAGATATCGATGAGTGCAGCAGCGCCCCCTGTCAGAATGGTGCTACATGTCAGGACGGAGTGAACAGCTTCACCTGTCAGTGCGCACACGGTTATACTGGAACTCTGTGTGAAGGTAGGTTTCAATACTTAGATCAGGTGCACTGATACTTAGATCATGTACACTTAATCGAAAACCTCTGGTTAGTAACGTTAGCCTTCTAAGTTAAGCATCAATGCTTTTTTTTCCTTTTCTTTCCTTCTACGATTTTGATGACTTCGATGATCGTTTACCAAGAGAATTGACACTCTTGCAGAAATTGACGAGTGCAGCAGCGCCCCCTGTCAGAATGGAGCAGTATGCTATGATGAGTTTAACAACTTCACCTGTCAGTGTTCAGCTGGGTATGCTGGAACTCTCTGTGAAACGGGTAGGTTTCAAAATAAAAATTACATAGGTTATAAAAGGCCTGCTAGTTTTCTCACTCTTAATTGTACATTAAATGCAAGATAATGATAAACATAGGGAAATAAAGCACCTAACCACGAAAAACGCCATGTGTTTGAAGTATTATTCGCCACGTCAATATTACACTGCCGTTGTCATTGTGATTGTACAGCATACCCACAACCAGACATGATGCCTCTTTACCACAGATATTGACGAGTGTGCGAGCAGTCCGTGTTTAGGAGGCGGAACTTGCGTGGATCACGTGAACGGCTACACCTGTGTCTGTCCTAAAGGTCACATGGGAGACAAGTGTGAAACGGGTAAAACAATTTAAACATACTGCGATACGTTGTAGTAGAAATGACATATTTTTTGCTTGTATTTCTGACAACCACGTTTCAATAATGACAGCAGTGCCAAAGTCGGCAAAACTAATATCGGTGAATTCCAGAGCTGAGATTGTCGCGGGAACAACTATAACAATGAGGATGAAGATGGTGATGATGACAATGACGATGATAAATATGAATTACAAATTAATATGTTTCCCCAGTTCCATACTTTGACGGCTGCCTGCTGTTCTCCTCCGATGCCGTGTCCTATCCCGAAGCGAGCCAGGAGTGCCAGACCAGGGGAGGGCACCTGGTGGATGTGAAGGAGGCCGAGCTGCAGCGGCTCATCGCTGACTCCATCCCTGCCGGAAGTGACGTGTCCCCGTGGACTGGACTAAAGCTTTCCCCGGGGGTGATGACCTACACAGACGGGACCAGCGTCTCAGGTAACCCATCCCTTCAAATTTCATTGGATCAAGTATACACTATCCTCGTTGCTCTTGCCCGAATATCACATATGTTTGAATAGCAGAAAGTCCTGACCATGCATTTCAGTGAAACTGGGAGACAGCGGTGTAAAGGTTTTTAGTACTCATTTTGGAATCCGAATCATAAAATCAACATCACAAATTCAACTTTTTCTCAAGCCTGGTCCTAGTTTTTTCAAGCTCCCTAGCTCATCATCCTGCTTTTTGCTGTGAATATATATGATGTCATTTTATGGCTATTTCAATTTTTATCTTTTATTATTATCTATTTCTTGGGAGAGAGTTACAGTGCAAAATATTTTTATGTCAAAAGGATCCATTAATTTATGTTCATACTAGGTCAGTTCCAATGGTCGGCTAGTGAACCCACCACCTCCTGTGAGCTGTGTGCTTACCTGGACAACACGGACGGCTATCTCGCTCGCACCGCCTCGTGTATGGAACAGCATCACTACGTGTGCCAGTCTGGTACGTTTTAGTGACAACCGTGGCCCATATATCGCAAGTAAAAAAACTCTAGACGCATCTAGAAGGTAATCCGTAATGACAATTTTAAATCTGTATCGATGTTTCTATAGACCTGAAGCCCTGCCAGCGGAACATCTGCTACAACAACGGCGTCTGCTCGACCTGCTTTAACGACTCCTACAGCTACTGTTCCTGTCTGGATGGGTACGAGGGAGACATCTGCAATATCGGTATTGTTTGCCTTTTCAAAGTTTTCTTTACAAAACGCCTATTGAATCTGGACACTTCCTTCATTTTCTATGAAGCAAACTAAAATGATACTTTTAGCTCTAGTTGCTTTTCCTGACAACCTACAGCTGTGTCAAGAAAAAGAACAGCTTTCAAGAAGCTATTTTCCCCATAGATACCGATGAATGCGCCTCCAATCCTTGTCAAAACGGCGGATTCTGCATGAACGGGGTGAACTCCTACCACTGCCACTGCACTGTAGGGTACGGAGGGGAGACCTGCCAGACAGGTATGCTGTGCAGAAAACAATACACAGCAAGACCGTATCTGTATGTTTACAACATGTAAGAGTTGTCTATCCGTATGTACATGTACGTGCAGCCTGACCCGTTGTAACAAACAGTGCATTTGGCTGGCCATATTACTAGTACTGTAGAACTCAGAGTAGATCTTGCCATGTATTGTACCCGTTACAATATATGTTGTGCACTAAGGTTTGACGTTATGGCAACTCTGACGAACGAAAAATAGTCTAGAGTATACGTAGAGTAGAGTAGAGTAGAGTAGAGTAGGGTAGAGTAGAGTAGAGTAGAGTAGAGTAGAGTAGAGTAGAGTGTAGAGTAGAGGAGGGGAGAGGAGAGGGGAGGAGAGGAGAGGAGAGTAGAGTAGAGCAGAGCAGAGCAGAGTAGAGTACAGTAGAGTACAGTAGAGTAGAGGAGAGTAGAGTAGAGTAGAGTAGAGTAGAGGAGGGGAGAGGAGAGTAGAGCAGAGCAGAGCAGAGCAGAGCATAGTAGAGTACAGTAGAGTAGAGGAGAGGAGAGTAGAGTAGAGTAGAGTGTATTAGAGTAGAGTAGAGTAGAGTAGAGTAGAGTAGAGTAGAGTAGAGTAGAGTAGAGTAGAGTAGAGTAGAGTGTATTAGAGTAGAGTAGAGTAGAGTAGAGTAGAGTAGAGTAGAGTAGAGTAGAGGAGAGGAGAGGAGAGGAGAGTAGAGTAGAGTAGAGTAGAGTAGAGTAGAGTAGAGTAGGGTAGGGTAGGGTAGGGTAGGGTAGGGTAGAGAAGAGTAGAGTAGAGAATAGGATCACTATAGAATAGAAACAGGTTACAATAGCTGTGTTCAGTTGGTTTGGATGCTCTCACCAATAGTTACTCAAAATGGGTCTTCTGGGCATGGGTGTAATGGTGACCTGTGCCCTGTAATGTACAGTGTAAATTCCAAATTACCTTTACATTTTCAATAAATACAAACAAATAGACATGTCTATATTATATGAACTGTTGATGATGATTCCATTCCTTACAGGTGCATGTTTTGAAGTTTCTAATGTATGTATA